AGCCTTGCGAGCTCGTCCTATCTATGCTTTCATGCAACACTGGAGCAACTCATCAAAATTCCAGCAAGAAACTTTTCATTTCATCTTGAAAGCAATTTCCAGACTATTTTTTAAAATCAGAAACTGAAAATAAGACAGAGATATATTAAATACAACAGTAGAATTTGAAATTGACTGATAACAGAGCCCTTCTAGGCTCAGAAGCAGCAACTTTTTCTATTTTTACTAAATTCTAAAAATCATAGAATCAGTCAAGCTGGAAAAGACCAAGAGGATCATCCAGTCCAACCACACCAACCCATCTCCACCATGCCCACTAACCGTGTTCCTCAGTGCCACATGCACACTTCCAGTGATGGTGACTCCACCACCTCCCTGGGCAGCCTGTGCCACTGCCTCACTGCTCCTTCTGAGAAGAAATTTCCCCTAATACCCAACCTGCACCACCCCCGGCGCAACAGATTTAGTGGGGAAAATAAAATACTTATAAGTAAGTATCTTGTTACCTGGAGTATAAATTGCAGTAGACCAGTACTTCCTACAGTAATTGGCTGTGGCTGTATCTTCCATTTTCTTCAGGAGGCAGGAAGGATGTTTTGTCTTATTTAAAAATATATATATATATTTTTTAATATATACAATCTTTAACATGTGACACTGTTAATTAATCCAGGAATTACAGGTTTTTCCTTTTTTTTTTTTTTCCTACTTGAAATGCTTGTTTGTGCTTTAATTTAGTTTCTGACACTGTGAGGTAGGTTTTGCTGTTTAGCTGAAGGTAAGACTACTAATACAAAAAAAAAAAAAAAAAAAGATGAAGAAGGAGGAAAAACACAAGCACATTACAAACTTATAAGACTGGAAGTACAATGGGAAATCAAAATTAGAAACGTAATTGTGATGGCAAGAGAAAACAGAACTCTTGGGGCACTTCCACTGGTTCTCCAATACCTCAGCTTTTATCTTGTTTTTAAATTGAAAGGTTACTCAGTTTTCAGAAGGTTTGATGACTATGGCAGCCATGATGAATGCTTCTTCTCACAGAGACAAAACAAACCAGATTTCATTTTCTTTGTATTTCTTCAATTTAGATGGACATGCAACACGTCAAAGAAGATAAGATGCTACCAAACCAAAAGCAGTCCCGCAGTCAAGAGAAAGCCATTATCCCAGAAACTCAAAGCCAAGAAGTAACATTGGGAGGTAAGAAATTAGGCTGGTGGAACTTTGTATCTCCTACCTTCTTTCTGTGCCAAATCTACCAGGACTCTACATTTAAAAAAGTCTCTCTCTCACACACACACCATAATCTTTAGTAAAGTTGGATTTTAAAAGCTGCATTAAAAATAATAAAAACCTTTTCCTCCAGTTCAAAATTGAAGGTTATAATCTGCTGAAATTAAAAGCCATATGAAAGTGATCACAGAACACATGCTTGTGTTTTCTGTGTTAGCCTACTGATACACGCAGTAGTCAGTGCACAGGGAGGCCTGGTTTGAGAACTTTACAACTAAATTCAGATTAACACTCATGAAATCAACTGTTTAAAAATAAGTTGTCTCACGCTAAAGGACAGCCATGAAGCAGTCATTGGTAAGTAGTTGAGAGCAGAACGTTACCTGCAGAAGCTTTATTACTGCAAGTGACTCATTTAGGAGAGGAACTTGAGCTGAATCCAGCTTTTATCCGTTTTTTGCAATGCAGTGGCAATAAGAGAAACGGAACACAGTCAGAAAGGAGGCCTCGTTGGCCAGCCCCTTCCAAGTACAAGAATATATGAAAAACAAGGAGAACAATAGAAGCTGAATAAGGTCTTTCTCATTATCACACACTGCTTTATGACGACAGGAGACAGACAGGTAGATAGGTGTGGTCTACAACTACCTTTTACATTATACTTTCACTTATCTACTTTGGCATTGTTTTGGCTAACTATTCCTGCCTGTTTAGTGCCTGTTGAACAAAGGATTGATTGTGCTGCAGGCCCCTTCAGCACTCATGAGTATCGAATACAGCACGGTGCTTTTACAGGCTTTTGCAAATTGAACATAAAGTAGGAAAAAATATTCATTTCTTAAAGGTTCAAAATCTCCATCCTCAGTATTGTAGCACAAGTGAAGCTGAGACACAGACTTCACTGGTAGAATGCTGTTTCAAGATGGCTCTCAGAGAAGATCCTTGGGTCTTAACACAGAAGCCAGAGTCCTGGTGGATCTGTCCCTTCTCAAAATGCAGCACAGAGTCTGAGAATAATTTCAAGAAATACAATCCCTCTTTACATCCATTAATGCTAATTGGTCTGCAGAAGCTCTGTTTTGAAGTCTTAGCAATGCCCAGCTAGACCTGCAAGGACAGCACTCCTCACAAGACTGTTTCTCAGTTCTCTTTTGCCAGAGTAAGGCAGAAGATCAGCAGTCTTCCCAGAGATGTGATGTGTCAGGATAGGTGGATATCTTCAGTCCTTCCAGCTTGCCTGCCTGCTGGATACGCCAACCAGCGACTGGTGGAAAAGCTGAGTTGTCTTCTCCATTCCTTCAGATCTGCATCTTGCCAGCTTTGACAAGTGAGAAGCAAATGATCTTCAATTTTTGCCTGTCCTAGAAGTTCCCCAACTCCTTGTCAGCAGTGGAAGTTCCATTTTCAAAATTATTTGCACGCTCTAGGTTCCTCTTAGGTAGAAGAGAGATTTTTCTGCCACGCTCATCCAGAATGAAGGAAAAATGACATTTTACATCAAAGACCCAGAATACACCATTTGGTTTTGTCCACAATGTGAGGAAGAAAACCCTCTTCTGGATGATTTGCATATGGGTTCACTGGCAAAATGTTCTGGAAGAACGTGTTGATTCTTGCCCTTAAATGTGCAAACTTCAGATTGCCAGCTTTGGAAACACCTTACAAAGCCCAATCCATTTGTTCTGTTTGCCTGTGACTCACATCAGCTAAAGAAAAATAGCTGAAAATGAAAGTGTAAAGGAAAAGCCCACGCTAAAACAATTTACTGAAAGTGACAATGCTTTCAGTATTGTATTTCAGTATCATATTTTAGTAGTCAACACTGATCATTAATTTGCACACTAGGGTCTGGTTGGGGCTGAAGGGTGACGTATTTCAGCCCAAGTGACAGATGTGAAGTTGCCAGCTTTTCGATCCCCTCCCACAGCTCCTAAGGCAGAGCATGCAGGTTATGAAGCTGTAACTGGCCAAAAGCAACCTCAGTGTAAAACAGAATACTAGCCCTAAAAAATAATAAGCTCACTGGGAAAAGACTGGTTTACAGCTGTAGAAAATGCAGGAGAAACACAGAGATGGACCAGCAGGTACTCAGTTTCAATGTGCCAAACAATTCTCCAGCATGTGGAAGAATGCAGCCTGTTACACACTGCACTTCAGATCAGTCCAATTTCTGCAGTTCCTTGCACTGTACTCAAAGAATTTCCCCTGCTTAGATTACCCAAGGATAGCATTTATCACCTGTAATCAGATTACAGAACAGTTTCTAAATGCATACTGGACTTGTAAAAAGATTTCGGACTTACACAAATGAACAGATTTCAGAACTGGGTGGGGAAAGTTTGTGCAATCAGTTCAGAGGGTGCTCCTGAGAACATGCTTCATTTGGATTCACGAAGTGATACTTCCTCCAGGCCATGCACAAGGCTTTTTATTTTTATTTTTTTTCCTTTAAGAGCAACTTCCCAGTACATTTACAATGCATACAAAATGTGTTGATTTATCTGTACCTGCAATGAACACAACATGCTCTTTTTATGTATGTGTGTGGCATTTCCTCCTAAGAAAAGACTAGTTATGATAATTCAGCACAAGGTGAAAACAACTCACCTACTAGGGCAATTGAGTTTCTGTATTGGGTTTGGGCATCTATAAACCACCACTGGCTTCATGTAGTAGCATGAATCTAAGACATACCATTGATTTATATCATTAGAACATCCCCAGTCTTTCATCTGCTCACTGCAGGGGCACCCACATCCATCCTTGTTCAGGTGGTGCATGAGTCAGATCAAGGTTAGCAAAAACAGAGAGAAATATCTCATTTTCCCAACCACATCCTCACAGATTTGTGACAAGAAGCCAGTTCTGACCACAGCAAGGAAGGACAGAGCAATTCATCTGTTCTCACCTATCCGAATGCTCAGTGACATTTCGGTACAAAATTCTGCAGGCAGCAAGGAGGATGTGGAATGGAAAAGTGTAAAGAGACTGCAGAGTGCCTGAGCTCCTTCTTCAGAGAAGCAATTCAGATCAGAGCTTCCCTCGAGGTGACATGCACCACATACAGAGCACAGAAGTCTCACAGGATGTTCTTCATCCATGCGCAGATCTCAGATCTCCTGCATGAAGCCTTTTAACACTCAAAGATTGGTGAGGGTCTGTGCTGTTTTTTTCTTGAGATCCATCAGGAAGATCAGTACACTCACAATAAACCAAGCTACAAATAAAAACACACTATGAGGAGGAATGCTGACAACAAACCGCACAGAATTTATGTGACGAAACCAATAATGTGTTATGAAGGTAGGCATGTGAATTGTGAAGCAACAGACGTTCCGCCTAACTAACATGTATTCAAAACAAAACAAAACAAAAACACCCCCAAAAAACAGAAAAACTTCCTTCTCAAGAGGGCATTGAGTGCAGCTAAACTAGGCTCTTGTTCCAACAGATCCAGAAAGAAGTTTCTATTTCTTCCTTTCTCAAATAAAACACTGATGAAAAAGAGGAAGACCAGCACTGGGAAACTGAAGGCAGTCTCTATGATCTGAGACTTACTCTGGCACTGTCGCATTCCAGTGCACAATTGCTTTATTGTTTCCCCCCTCTAACCCCATAGACATTAGTAGCACAGACATTATCTGTAGCAACAGACACTACAGTGCAGCATTAGTAGGGCAACACAGGTACAGATCAGTGGTGTATCACATCTAACCCTCTCCATAAAGCTTTCAAAAATAAAGAATGCATCATAACCAAAAGAAAAAGATTGAGAATTTTATTTGTACTTAGCACATACAGGAAAGATCAAAACAAATATTAAAAGACAGCATTTGTAAACAAACATACTTTACAAAAAGATATACACTATCAAATTTGCTCTGAAAAAAAATGCATGGTTATAGCTGTTTATAAATGTATATTTAATCAAAATCAAGTTTAAAAATTACTTCACTTTCAAATATCCCATATAAAGACTTATTCATTTCGACAACTTCAGAGAGACCACAGACGTAAAGCCAAGATAAACATGTGAGTGAAGATGGCACTGATTCCCAGTTAAAAAAAATAAATCGGCAAGTGATCAAAACGCCAGCCAGTCTATTTAAAGAACTAGGTTTGTAAAATATATATTCAACTCTTCAAATGTCTACCTTAAAAAAATAGAACTATTTTACTGGATCATCCTCCTCTTGTCCTGTGCAACCTACTGTAGGGAATTGGCTTTAGCAGAGGGCTGACTAGATGGCTTCCAGAGGTCCCTTCCAACCCCTACAATTCTGTGATTCAGTATGATAAGCTGTGGTCTTGAATCCATGCACTGAAGAGCTATCAGTAGGTAGCTTTATGCAATTGTGTCATTCATTTTTGTAGTCACATTAAAAATAACAAGACAGCAGCACCCTTATAGCAAGGATTCATTTTTAACATTCTTGCACGTATAGCAGCAGGTACGGTTTTGGGAGATGCCATTTATATAATCACTTAGTCAAAAAGTGAAAAGCATACTCTATAAACTTTATTACAGTGTTCTTTCCCAGTGTTCAGCAAGCACCTCTAATTCTGCTGTAGAATACAAAAATTAAAAGCAAAAGACACCCAAACCTACGACTACCTCAGCAGGCTCCCTTTGGTGGCGTGCCTTAAGTCATTTTAACTGCCAGCATGAAATCTGATTTCTATTTTTCTCCCTCCAGTCTCCTATTTGCACATCAACTAAAAGACAAAATTTTTCCAACTTCATCTATTAATTTGAGTCAAAAGAAACAAGATAATAAAAATCATCAAGGCTGTAATGGCTAACCTTCAACAGCAGACAGAGGATCACAGATTCAAGAAGTAATGTAGAATGTAAATCCCCAGAAATATTTCTGTTCCTGGGACACTGAAAATTCTTACCAGCTTTCACAAAGGCTTTTTCAGGATTTTTTTCTTTTTACAAAGACATGGAAAATACTTTTCCCAAGAATGTCCATGAACACTAAACAAGGATGGATGTACATAAAAAGATGTACGTAAAAAGACACACACTTCATTCACAATACACTTTGAACATACGGCAGACAGACAAGGACCATGGAATGCAATGATCGTCTAAGATGGCAGGTGAAATGAAGATGACTTTTTCAGAGAGTCGTCATGAGTTTATCTTGGTACACCATACTTTGGACTTCTCCTAAATTCTTCTGGTTCTGTTCTTGAATATATCGTAAATTGCTGTCCTCTCCACTTGTGGGGGGCTTCCAATATGGCCTGTCATCATGATAGGATGGCCTGTACCATTTGCACAGGCATTGGTTAGTGAGAGATGGAAGTAAACTTATGAGTGCTACACAGCAACATGAGTTCATCCAGCAAATGCTAAGCATACATACACTGTGATGGACAGCTGCCACAAAGGGAAGAAAATGGTGACAGGTCTCATAAGAATCTATTGATGCAATTGGGAATCTTTAATTCACTTCAAAGGGCCTTGAATTAGAGCTAAGCCATTTAAAATCTCTGTTCTCAAGTGTTGTGCACCAATGATCCTGAATCCCAGAGAGATGGTGGGGCCATAGGAAAGCATACATGAGTACAACAAACAGGTAAAATAAATCATGCAAAAAAGTTGAAAAAAATATCCCTAAGGACTAAAAAAAATTTCAAAAGACAATCCTATTAAGAATGAAAATTGCTCTTCCATAAATATTGCCACTCACTCACCACTGGTGCAGTTAGTTTGCCAAAGCAGCCAGTACAATACAGTCCATTCTGTTAAGATGAATACCTACAGCCTGTAGGTAGTACAGGTATTTCCATAGGACTGTGTGCTGAAACTTGCAGAAGTTTGAAAATAACTTTTTTTCCTTGTTTGTTCATCACCTACTGGTACTTAGAGACACTAACCTCAACCAATTCTACAGTCTCTACTGAATCATTTTGAAAAACAAAACAAGACTTTGTAAATTCTAAAATCACAACTATTAATTGGAATGAATTTTCTCACAGGATGGAACATTTTGTTAAATGCAAATTTCATTTAAAGGACTTTACTATGAAAACAGAGACAATTCCACATATTATTTAACAAATATTTTGTAGAAATCTTTGTGAAAAATTTTAGATAATAAATAACTATAAAGAAATATATAAAAGCAGTACTGCATGTTCAGTTTCGCTTCAACCTATAGCCCATTATAGACTTGCATGGCCAACAGAAAAAATCTCATGCATATCTGTGTTTTGATCTCAGATTCAGTCAAATGAATTAAACGTTCTCAAATAAGGCTAACCAAGATGTTAAATGTCCAGCTCCACTACTTTGACACTACATTAAAATAATTTGTAGCTTCCACTTTAGCAACACATTTAAACATTTGTACTAAATTGGAAGAAAAATTGTAAGCACCTTTTCTAATGAATTTACAGAAGAGTATTTAAGTATCCTTTTAGAATTGCAAGCCTAGATATGAAAATGTCATTGTTCATATTTCACTGGCCTTAATCTTTACCCTGGCAGCAGAGGTTGGAGAGGGGGGGAGACTGTCTGCACGCTTTATAGTACATTATTGTGCTTATTTCAATATTGCTCTGCTCCAAGGTTAACTATTTGGCTTTAAAACGCATCATGAGTGACGAAATCTTTAGGATTAAAAAAAGAAAAGTAAAATAAAATTAGCAAAACCTCAAATGACTTATAAAATTATTAACTTCTCTCAATACTTCCTCTTTGGTAACGTAAAATTGGATATTGGATATTTACAATCACAAACAAAAGTCTGGACATGAAAACCCTAAAGCCAGGAAGGATCTTGAACACAAAGTACAGGCAGAATTAATTATTCAATTTAAACAGTCTTCTGTTTCTGGCGTAATTTTCATGTATGCTTTACTGTTTTATACCAGGAATTCTGGGATGACAATGAGCATGCCTGCTTCTCTGCCTAATAAGTACTTGCCTTTTTACTACGTTCTCAGATTCAAACTCAAGCTAAATTGTCTTTTTATCCATTTTAAGCTCGTCGCTTCCAGAGCCCACCACACCAAGAACAAAGTCTAGCTATCTGATGTAAGCATACAGAAATTAAAAGGTAAAATCAACAGAAGTAAAGATTAGGCTGTTGGTACTTTCAGTCAAGATGGTAATTATTTGCCAAAAATATCCTGAGCAGCGTAGAAAGGTTATTCTTTATTAGGACAAAATAGCAGCTAAATTTTATCACGTGTATGTGCACAGACACATATCAGCTGTGTCTCCACCTGTGCATTCCACCAAGATGGTTCAAGCCTAAATTGAATTTCTTCCAAAATTTATTTTCACTTCATTTCTCCCATCAGTAGTTTGCCACAAGGTAACACAACAGGAATATTTTTGTGATATAGTTCTAAGAAATTCAAAGTTCTAAAATAACTGAACTAGTATCAGTAGAGAGTCCGATATTATTCCATGTACACATTATTTTTCCATGTATATTTCAGCAAAAAATGAAAAAAAGAAGTTCTGTAATGCAAGAAGCTGTTCACTCATTTATATTTCTAATTCCTATTTGCTTTTCACATGCAAAAAATCACCTGATATGTCCACCAAAGCTTCATACTGATAGATTAAGAAAGAAGTAATCTTTTCCATGAAGGTTGCTTACCTTACATTCACAGGTGTATGTGGGTGCCAGTGTGGCTGAGCAGGATGTATATTAGGATGATACTGTGGCTGCAAGTGAAAACATTAAACCTGGTTAGTAAAACCATGTAAAAACTCCTTGATAATTTCAACTTCCTATTTTTTCTGGAATCATGAGGAATATGCTAGCAGTGAGCCCTAAAAAATCCACTCTTTCAGACCTTCCATGCCATTTAGCACATGTACAAGACCTCTTAATGATAAGCTTGCTTATTAGGACATACTCATGGACAAATGCAAAGAAAATTGGTTTTCTGTTTGAGCGACAACCTGGCACAACCAGTGCTTCTCATAGAAAACACATCAGTATGCTCAGCTTTAATCAAAGGTGGAGAGTGAGAAAGGTTATTACAGTGGATGCCTTCAGAAGGTCACCTATCATTGGCGACAGCATTTCTCTCTCATACCCATGAAGTCTTAAAGAGAAACAATGAAATAAAATCACTGGTGAGGCCTTTAATAAAAACAAGCATTCCATTCTCATGCACGCACTCAGTTTGAACAAAAGCATGGCTTGCTTTCTCAGTAGTATGGATTATTATCACAGATAAAGACTAGGTAAGGTTTTTCCATCAAAGCTTATAAAGGAGGTTGTTTAAAAAAATACAAAAGAACAATCAACAACAATAAAACACACACACAGAAAAACACCAGCACAAACATCTGACCAGCAATGAACTCATCAAGTGTTGTTAAGGAGGAGATAATCACAGCTTTGAACTTGTGAGAGCTCCTCTATTGTCAGATACTGTTCTACACAAAAGTGCTGCTCACAAAGCAGTCTGCAAGAGTGCATCACACACAGTCCCACAGTCCTTAACCCGTGATCTCACAGGAAGGAAAGCAAAAGAGGATGACAAACTGAGTGTATTCAGCATGCAGAGTATCCAAAAAGACAAGGGAAGCAAGACAGAAAAGTCCCTTCACTTTATCCGGAACCTCCCAATCTAACGCTGCAAATTTATGAACCCACTCCAGTGGAAGGAAAGGGAGAAAAGCAATTGTCATAATTATAGACCAGAAAAATTATTTGCCACTAAGTAAGAGCACTTTAAAAGTAAATACTTCCCTCAACAATATTTATGCTTACCTGATAGTTGTGGACTTCAGGAGTATTTTTAGCACTGAAGAAAAAAAAAAAAAAAAGCTTTTATGTAATAAATACTGACAAAACTCAAAGGTACACAAAAAAATTCATTCTCTTAAAACACTATAGGCCTCATTCTATAAGTGTCCAATGGAAGACCTGTTCCTGTTAGAATCCAACAAAGTCTACTTAAGTGCAGTCAGTTACAAGAATAAGGATTCTGAGCAACTGAGGAATCATTATTCTTATTTGCAATTCATTCAGTTGCACAGCCAAAACAGTTTACTTGCACAAACAAGTTAGTACTTTTTATAAAAATATCCACGTAGCAATTTCCTATACCTCTGGGCTCTACTCTTCAAGGAAGTACTCCAGTGAAGTAAAATTAGGACATCAGTAGTTTATTCAGGATATAAACCACAGCAACAAGAACAAATAATGCTAGATGAATTAGAGTAACAGCAATGAGCAGAAAGGAAATATGCTTTATTTTAATCTGATCTCAAACAGAAACATCTTAAAAATGAAAGCACGAAGTCTCACAGTCTGTCCCCAAGGAGAATCTGGTGTGGCATAATGACAGATTCCCAAGCAATTTTTCCTACACCAGAGAATGAGAGTCAACAAATCCTGGTGCAGAACTGCTCTTCAGAATCCCTTGACTTACAACAGTTACTGATAGGTAGAGAGAACTTGAAGAATCACTTACCACAGTTGTGCTGCTTTCACAGGATTGTTTGCTTAAAAACAAACAAACAAAAAAACCCACCATTAGACCAGTGAAACATCAGTCATTTTACAGTTATCATCATTGGGGTGTTATACCACTGCTAAAGAGGATCCTTGTACAGACATCTGTACAAATGTGTCATAATCCAAGCACAGTCCTGTATGAGGCAGACACAAATTTCCCTTTGTTTCGCGAGAGTCAAGATCCATCAAAGATAACTGCAGAAGACTATTCTTCCCCAGCAGCCAGAAGGAAGGACTTCAGGCAGCGCAAGTTCGGCACAACCAGATCACCAGTTCTCTCCATTTACTATAGCTACTACGTCAGTAACATTGAGTCCTTTGGAAATCAAAAGCTACTTTCCATAATGATTTTGCATCTCAGAGTTCAAAGTATTCTTGAAGTTGGTAACAAACTGTGTGTTACTACAACGAAAAATAAGCTACCAGCCAGGAATACGGGGAAACATCAATCAATCTTCAGGAACAAAATCTTGGACCGTGCTTTGGACAGGCTACACAAATGGTGAAGAAGCCAATAGAATAGCTGGGGTGTATTATTTCTTTTTCCTGGCATACCGTATTTTCAGAAAGAGCAATGAAAAACCGCTAATTGAAATAACTGAAAATCCATGACTGTGCTGAATGCAGAAAGTGGATTACAGACTTAATCAGACACTGTAAAAGTACAAGCAGAGTGACTGAGCTAGGACAGAATCCAATGCTTGTGGGCTATGACTAGGAAAAGAGATGTGTGACAGAATAATCTAAAATGAGTTTTTGCACGAACTTAAACATTCTGTCACCATCTCAGGATGGAGATCATCTGGGTAAGGCAGAAGTTCTGCCCAGCTGCTACGCACAGAGAACTGGAACGATCATAAGCCACACTCTCTCTTCATCCCACCTCACAGACATAAGCCATTGTATGGAAACACTGCAACGCAAGGCCTGACAGATCCCACTGTTACAAAACGTTTAAAATAATCTTACCTTCCACTTAAGAAACCATCCATACTTATCACAGAAGTATTATTTGACATATGAGAGCAAATATCTCATAAATACAGTGCATGTCTGTAAATGAGAGATGAGGAAGGGAGGTGGGGGCTTACAGCTTCTAGAGAGCATGCCTACTTGCTGTCCTTTTCCCCCCTTGGTACAGGAGAAGGTGGAAATAAAAGTTCGCCTGTAATTCCACAAAGACTTTTAATGGACCTGAGGTTCATGTTCCAGGAATACATAGGAATCCAAAGACATCCTAAGGGAATATCAGCTCATTCTGTTCCAGACAGCAACTACTGCATGAACAGTTCAGTGACCACACATACACTTGCCTTTAAACGTCGAATGCCTTCGAGAAGGATATCGCTTGCTGGGCCGTCTTTCAAACGTACTAGTTCTGCGTAATCTTGTCCCATGTGTTGCTTGATACTCTGTCCGGCCACTTGAAATACAAAAATAAAGTTAATTGCTGTCTTTTGCTGAATGCTGTATCTCCTCCTCTGTAAAACTAGTATCTTGCTGTTACTTCACTAAATACCTGAATCTGAAGCGTGATCCCAGCCTTATGAAGTCAGATCTACTAGATTTACTGTTTGCTGGGGCTCGCAGTCTGAAGAAAGCATGATGTTCCACTGCACATTTCCACAAATGTTTGCACGTTTTGGCACTGTCTAACCGGAAAACAAATGTGTGCTCTTGCTCTCTGCCCTAAATGCAGAAACAAAAGCTTTAGAAGTTGGCACGCACGATATTAGTTATTGTCCATGGCAAAAAATACAGCCCAATCCAACACTGTGCTGAGCCTCTTGTGCTCTTTTCAGTCAAAACACACTCTGCACGTTGTTGGACCAGGCCAAAGAAAGGGCAGAAAGTTACCTGTTCGTCATCTTCCACGACCACTAGTGTTAGTTTGCTCTTTTTAAAGTCCATTTTTGTGATTTTAGGCCTGAACGTATAGGAAGCAAACAGAAAATTAATGGAAAAACTGTATTTTGTACTCTAGGACAATTCCCCAGAATACATCATATCAGGGATTTGCAATCCCAAAGCACTTCAGAAATTATACTTTTGGTTATGATTTTATTATGATTCCCTGGAAATGTAGCAATATTTCAATAATTTATTTATTTATTTATTTTTAAAACAACATTTGCCACCAGTACTTCCAACCAAACCATTTTACCTTTGGACCTATTTTAAACTGGTAGATTCAATCTGCATTACAAAACACAGGAAAGCAGATAGATTTCAGCATTTTAACAAAAGAAATATATGTATATTTATATAAAAGAAAAGCAGATTACCAAAAGAATAAGCCTATTTTATTTGCTCCTTCAAAGATCAATATGCCCGTTGGTGTCAGTCCAAGAGCATATTCACAACCATCTCTTCCCTACGAGCAAGCACAGAACCAATAATTAATATGCAATTAGTAGCATAAATCTTATACACACTGTATCAAAATCCATTGGTTTTAATCTATACAACAAGGTTTGCATCTGTTATCATTACAGAGAATAAGAATATGCATCTGTAGTGGGTGTAAATCAAAGGGTTCTGGCACCTGAAGGCTGCAGAGCACCCTTTGTGGGAGGAGGCCATATGCTGTCTCAGGCAGCTTTGATACCTGAGGAGCTCAAACACGACACCTAAGGAGCTTTTAAATGCACTTATTTAAGAGCAAGCAATAGCTGCCAGGAGAAGTAGATACAAAAGAAAAAAAAATCATGAACACTGGATAAGTCATGTGGAAAGAGACTAGGCTCAAGATGCACTCTTTGGAAGAGCCTGACCACACAGGAGAGGGAACTTCTGACAGGTCATAGCCCCTGGACATAGCAGGTCTTAGCAAGACAGTGACAACTATGAGGGACTGTGGCCACACGAGGACAAGGACAACCTTGAGGCACCATGGCCTATGGATACTCCACACGGGACGAGGGACAGCCCTAATGGACTGCAGCTCACAGAGAACGCATCCCAGGTTAGAGTCACACACAGTCACAGAATTAGGGGTTGGAAGAGATTCCTGGAGATCATCTAGACCAATCCCCTCCAAGGGATGGCCCTGAGGTAATGAAAGTCTGTGGGCAACCCTCACAGCAGCAAGCATACATCAGCAGTGGAGAATGAGGAAGAAGCAGGAAGCAGCACAAAGAAACTGTTATACAGATGATCCCAACCTTGTGACCTGAACTGGGAGGGACTGACTATAACCTGCAGGGAAAACAAGGGGAGTTGATACTAGGAAGAGGGGAGAAGATATGCTGGACTGAAGGATACGCTAAGCCTAAGGAATAGGGAGGGAAGGTGATGGTGTTTCTATCAATGCTTGTTTTATTGTCTTCTTTTTTTCTCCTCAGTAACCAAACTGGTAATTAAAAGTTTGCATTAATTGACAGTATATTAAATTAAGTTACATTCCCAGAGTTTACTATGTTTTGTCTGAGACAGCACCTCCCTTTAATCTTCTGACCCCATCTTAATAAAACAAAGTACAACATGTGCCTTACCTTAACTACATGCATATCTACACCGTACATTTCTAGCCATTTGGCTTTGTTCAAGTAGCACAGTTCAGCCTGTGCTGGACTCTTTCCCCTAAGAACATAAAGATTATTTTAGATTACAGTACAAAATTTTTTCCTGTTTTAGAAATAAATTTCTTTTCCCTACCCCCTTGTCTTTGAACACTCAGTCTTACTGACATTAAAGGAATTTCAAACTTGGCTTATGCTTTTACCCTATTCCCTTTAAATGAAAATTAATCAGAGTGATAAAAACTTAGAAAGGTTTACAATTGCCAATACGCATGAGAATTCAGCTAACGTTTACCAAGATTACTGTATTTATTAAAAGAAAGAAAAAGTTTTTAGAACTACCCTGAACACAAAACTTTGAGAGTGCATGCATGAAAGAGAATTGTTTCTGACAGTACCAAATTTAAAAAAAAAAAAACAAAAAAAAAAAAAAAACACACAAAAAAAAAAAAAAAAAAAAAAAAAAAAAAAAAAAAAAAACAGGCATACACTGTTACAGAACAATGAAAAGAAAAAAAAAACCCTAACTCCACCAACCTTCTATAAGCTGAATCTATTTCTTTCTGACGATGGGGAAGAGGTTTCTGTGTAGTATACAGTTTCAATTCTCAAGCACAGTTGCTGCTTTATGTTTGCTAAGGAGGCACTTACTGACATAGCTGACTTTGGAAGAAAGGAAAACAACCTATTGCTAGATGCCATTCCCACACAAGTACCCTACCTGCACTCCTTCCATTTCTGGAAGATGTCAAATTCCATTGCTTCAGTCTGGTTTGGTGCAAATCGGAATTCAGACACAAGTTCTGGTGTGTGCTCTGGGTGTTCACACTCTCCCAGTTCAGCTGAAATTAATCGTTTGGAAAGTTAAAAACAAAGATCACCATACGTTGTACAAGAATATGCTTCTGCTGATGCTGTAAATTAAAAACAAACAAAAAAAACATCTCAAAATCAAAACACTTTCTAACATTTAAGAGCTGCAGCCATTTCTCTGGATTTTGAAGTACTTAAAGGAAATTAAGTTTCTCTTAAAATCAAAATATCAATACACTACTATTTCAGAGGAGGTTACTTTGAAGTCTTTTCTCACTATAATGAGGTCATACTTTTCATTCCAAGACATTCTATAGCTTGCTTTCTTACATTACTGTAGGAGTCCAAACGGTAAGATAATATCTAGTCTCAAGAAATCAGTGATAAAGTTTTTGTCTGCTTGCTTTATACCATCATGACGGTGTAATATTCAAATTAAGCTATTTTTTAAGGAAAGAAATGGTGAAGCATCAGCATAACTGAAATATCACTTCCTGTTCACTTATTTAGGAACTGCTACAATTTTTTCTAGGAGCTGCACACTTGTAAACTCTACTGTGCTCAGCAAGAAATGCAAGTGTTGAGGTAAGTTTTGCTCCTAGAACCTGTAAGGTACATAAAGAGGCTGTAATGTCACTGCTTCAGGTCTGAGACACAAACATCAACAGTAAATGTATTTTTCAGCATGGAATCACAGAATCACAAAATGGCCCAGGTTGGAAGGGACCTTAAGGACTATGAAGCTCCAACCTCTCTGCCACATGCAGGGCCACCAACCTCCACATTTAATACTAGACCAGGCTGCCCAGGGCCCCATCCAATCTGGCCTTGAACACCTCTAGGGATGGGGCATCCAAAACCTCTCTAGGCAGCCTGTTCCAGCACCTCACCACTCTCATAGTAAAGAATTTCAACCTAAATCTTCTCCATCTTCCCTTGTCCTGCCATTATCTACCCTTTGAAAGAGTTGACTCCCCACCTTTTTTATAGTCTCCCTTTAAGTACTGTAAGGCTGCAATGAGGTCACCCCACAGCCTTCTCTTTTACAGGCTGAACAAGCCCAGCTCCCTCAGCCTGTAATTACTGTGTCACCTGCATGTGTTGTGATTCCAAACCAGTGCTTTGGAAGTCAGTGTCTCTTTACTGTTACTACTACAAGGAAAAAGACAGAGGAAAATGAAAGCTTTTGAAGGAAACAGTTTTGTTGCTTCAGGGCAGTTTTACACACAACTGCTGCAAAAATTCATAATCAAGATTCATAAATCATTAATTCACTCCCAGTCTTCAAAGATGCCAAGCAGGTTATATTAAAACATAATAAGTTACTTTCGAAATGCAATCCGTTAACTACTGTCTTGCAGAATTTTTTTTTTTTTCTTTTTTTTTTTTTTTTCTCTTCAAAAGTATTCTGCAATGGTAAGCTACAATATTCTTAGCTGTACATCTTCAACAGAGATACCTTTGTTCTGCTGCTGTTTCATCTAATTTGGGAGCCTATTTAACAGTTGTTGCTAAGAAATACTGGCAGTCCAGTCTCCAGAATGTAAGAGGGGAACTACAATAAACACATTGGTAAGGAGGACTTTAGGGGGAAAACCAACCAAACAAACAAAATAACAAAAACTAGCTAGCAAAAGCCTGTCTGGCTCTGGAGGTCCTGGTGGATGATAAATTCAGTGACTGAACAGAACGCTGATAGAGTAAATAAAGTCAACAAGATTTTGGGTTGCATCAGCAGAAGGCATCACCAGCAGAGATAAGGGAGCGATTACCAAGCTCTACTCAACATTTATCAGGCCGCACCTAGAACACTGTGCTCTATTTTTGTCCCCACTATACAAAAAAAGATATGGACAGGCTGGAGAAGATCCAAAGAACAATGAATAAGATGATCAAAGAATTGGAAAGCCTGCCCCAGCAAAGGCTGGGGGAACTGGGGGTCTTTCAATTTTAAATTGAAAACTGGAGGTGCGAGAAAATGTTCTCCTTGGAGTTTATTTAGTACTTTCTGAAGTAGGTATGCTTAAATACAAAAACCATTCATGACTAATGAGGTAGTTAGAAACTTATTCTACCAATGATGATTCAAGTTTCTTTGACTTTAATTGCTATGTGGATAACCATATATAGCTCTGGAATGGGCTGCCCAGGGAGGTGGTGGAATCACTGACTGTGGAGACGTTCAAGGAACGTTAGGATTTTGTGCTGAGGGACATGGTTTAGTGAGTACCATGGTACTTATGAGTACCATGGTGGATGGTTGGACTGGATGATCTTGAAGGTCTTTTTCAACTTTGGTGATTCTGTGATTAAGTGAAGCGTGCGAGTATGAATCTGCTTCACAAATTATGCCATACTGCAAACTGACATTGTCTTGTAGAGAATTCCTTCACAGGATAGGCAACAAAACAATTTATGTTTGAAAAATGGTTCATACAGCAACCTATGAAGCTGTTGTTTGAGACAAAGAAAGAACTAAAGTAACAGAACGATCTCCTTTATGAAGAAAACATAATGAAGTTCAAAGCTGTCCCATAAAGAGAAAAAGCCTTTCTTTCAGAGAGTTTAGGGCTCCAATTTCTAAACAGCTTTTTAGCTTTTTCCTCAATTTAAGGAAAGCCACACTAGGAGAAGATCAGATTTTTTTATAGCAAGGGTAACCTAGGAGGACAGAATAACCACTTGACATTTCTTTAAATTATTCTGCTTAATTAAAAGCTTCCAATATCGATAAAAATGTAATACACATTACACAGAAATGTTCATTATAGCATATGCCAGCAGAGAAAATAAATTTGTTCCAATAGCTAAAATATTTTCAGAGAAATGTATTGCAATGATGTTGAAATACAGAAAACAAACAGCAGAAAAGTATGAAAACACCAACAAAATTTAGGTACGTTCCCACAAACAGCGCCAAGAAGTATTAGTTTTGATGCCTAATTAGAGACATTATAAATACTTATATTCCACAAATGAATGATTAATGGCTCTTTATTACATTTACATAGTAATCACAGGTGATAATTACTACCCAAAATGTTGAGGCATCAAGCTATTTATTCTTTGCTTGGTTCTCCTTGCTTAGACCAGGGGTGAGTTTACCACTGTTTTTATCCATGAAAATGGAAGCAGTAAATCAAACATGGGCTGCCAGATTTTCTCCATCTTAAAAACACACACAGAGTTTGCCTGCAGTACTTCTTTGCACACCTAACAATCAGAGCTGTCCCAGACAAGTTCAAATGGAAACCAAGACATAAGCCACTGGAGTAAGATTTACACCTGTTGCTGTCTGGAAATGAATTCCCAGTTTTAACTGTTGAGTCCGTCTAGAACCAGTGAGTTACCTTCATTGCTGTATGAAACTAAGAGGCTCTGCCTCAGAACTCCATATGTCATTGCCAGCCACCAGCAGTACAAGAACAGTATTTTTCACTTCAATTCATTTTGCTGCCTATAAGCCTAGAACGATCCAGATCACAACTCTTTATTTTAGAAAAAAATGAATTCTGAGTTTCATTATGCAAGTTTCCTCTCTATCTGCATAACAAATAACCAGAAACAGAGTATTTGTAAAAATGTGTTTCACTACTGTAGGAAAAAAATCTTGTAGTCCTTGCTTCTGTCACAGAAGTAATTTTAGTTCTTACCCTTCCATAATGCTCTCTCTTCTTCAGTATGCGCCATTCCCTCCCTTGTGCTATAACCATCTCCTGTTCCACATACTGCAGAGGACTTCTTTTAAGTACTGGTCAGGCAATAGGAAGCCCATGTTCAAGACCAGACCTGCAAGGACCAGCATACCATAAAGTGTATGCTGACAGGCCAGCTTCTCTTCAGGCTGAACAGGTAACAACACTGTGCACACACCACACCTTCTCCACCGCTAGGAAACTATTTGAGTTTCTAACTCCCTGCTCAAACTCACCAAGTTTCCATGAAATCTTTGCTCATGCCTTTGAGGCTACTTCTCCAAGACATGCTAACCTGGGCTAATAGAGCTCAGAAGTTATGAACTGAAAGAATGCACTAAAGAGATGCCCCTGAAATTCTTCTCCTCAAGTAAAGGAACGCCATCAAAATGTTGTCAACGAAAACTCATTAGTAACAAAGACTGAAAAGAAAACCAGCAAGTGAGTGTTTTAAATATGTTAAGACAAATCACTTAGAAAAGACTGCATACCTTGAAGACACAGAGCTGCTAGTTCAACAGCCGTTTCATAAGGGCATTTCAGTCTTAAAAACAAAAGAAACAAAACAAAAAAACAAGCTATAAAAATAATGTATTTTAATTTTCCATGACTTCTTGCTACTTAAAGGTACTCAGAGATGAATTGAACACATTAACTTTCACTAGAACACTGAAACCACAAACCACTAATGATATAGATAATCTAAGATTAATTTTACTTGCATGTGATTATTCTCTCATTTAGTACATTCTCAATAGGATGAAACACATATGATCAATCATAAAGCAAGCTTGAACTAATAAAAGGCAACCATGTTGTTTTTATTATTTTTTAATTAAAAACAATATAGATCAGATATGAATTTATTGGCCAGGGTGCGACTGTAAGCATACAAAAATTTTTTTTGAAGACTTCTCTTGCACAAGGAGTGTTGCACTTCATCTTTTCTTCCTCTTGTTACCTGTCAGACTGAAAAATATGGCAAGCTAAAGACACGGAAGTCAGGACAGGCTTTGTCCTCTTCATATATTTCTGTACGCTAGTCAAAAATGGTAGGTTTTTACCCATTTTATTTTTCAGTAATATGGTCATAATGCACATGTTATATGTTTCTGTATTCTAAAGGAGGAAATGCATATGGATCTCCACACCTTGTTTACAACCTGTGCAAGAACACCACGAAGAACAAGAAAGATCAAACAGTTAAAGAAAAAATTCAAATCACCAAGAGATTAACTAAAGGATCACTAAGAGATAAATATTTCAAATTACAGCTGCAACAGCAGAGAGGTACTTACTTCCCTGAAAGAATGTCTTGTCGGAGCTGTAATACAAACAGGTACCTGACAAATAAAAACACAAAGTCAAAAGTAAAATCCCAGTGCAGTCTTTCCAGCACCAGAGTCAGGAAAAATATCCCAACTCACTAAATAGTCACTTATAGATAACAGTCACTTAAATAGACACTTTATTTTCTCTTAAATGAAAAGGGTCTTTGGGGTCACTTGGATGTACCTTACCACCTTCAAAGTTCCCCTAACTTTCACCATAATCAGAAAGTAGTGACCATTCTTCACCTACTGCTTGTACCCAGGACACTGTTCAAGGCAACTCTGTTTAGGTAGCAATGAAACACTGCCCCACTCTGAGCACACAACAGGGCTATCTAAAACTTATCAACACACTGACATTTTTCCGAACTAGGCGTTGCCCAATTCAGGCAAACTCAGAACTATGGGACACAAACAACGGCCAGACTTTCAGTGCTACCTCCTCAGTAAGAGATACAGAACATGGAAGAAGTTCAAGCAGAGCAAAAGGAAAAGTTCAGACTGCACTTTCACTTTAAATACTAGAAAAGTTCTGAATAAGAGAAATGTGAATTCCACAGAGCCCACACATTTATTTATGTTATAAGTAGGTATTTACAGCCTGCGAACAGCAGTTTTTTAAGCTCCTGTTAATCTTCAGCTCTAGGTGTGCTTCATGTTTCACAGCCACTCAGAGCTTAGGTATGAGGCATGCAGAAGTGCTTCAGGCCATGCAAGAACTCTGTACAGGACAGGATGGCACAAGCAGGCTCTGCACTGCACTGGAAACTGAGGGGTGGAGCTTGCCATGAGTGAATCAAGAGAAGAGAGCATGAAGCACTGCTGACAGTCAACCAAGCAGATGCAAACCTATCTTCATAAAAGATGCTAGAAAGACAACATGCTTTGCATCACGGGAGACGTGCTGTTAAGGTGATGAAGAACGTGCAGCTGGAATCAGGAAGGAGGATAAAACTGAAAAGTAAGATCAAAAATACTTCTTGATGTAAAGTGAGATTTATCCACATTAGTTCCATGTCACACGTCTAATTCACATACTTGGCTAATATGTGACTTGCCAATCAAATCTGGATATGTGCACACACAGATTAAAGACAGACAAGTATGTTTCCTGCTCTTATTTTTTTTCCCTGATGATTCGCAATCCTATGAACTCATCTAATTTTGCAATAAAAATCTGAGCAGTAGTTCTCTCAGTGCCAACTTGCCTATAGAGCGCTGCAGCTCTGCACTGCTGGGGATGGCTTACTTTTGCTTCTGCATGCCAACAGACAAACATTTGCATTTCAATTACTGATATTCCAAATCAGCAGAATACCTTAAAATTCTCCACAAAACACATGTACAGACACGTTCCTCTGTTGTTTTTCAACGTTAACTTAATCAAGGTCCCAGAAAAGTGACAACAGATGTCTTCCAAAATGCACTGGGCTTCAGTTGCGTTTTCAAATAAAAGGACAGAGTGGGTGAAGGGTTTCAACACTTCTCCATTACTGTGCTAATTATGAAAATGTGATGTTTACAGCTTCACTAGGAACTGGTGCCTATTGAAAAACCACTCAGCACAAGGAATCTTCAACAACTCCTCTCCCTCTCCAACCAGGCCATTTATGATTATTGGTAATGAACATTTTTCCTCCTCCTCTTACTCCGGCTTGGAATAATTCTGAGTATACAGTTGTTAATCTTTACTTTTTACTCCACGTGGTACATAGAAAATATGAGCCAACCAACATAAGGATTCTTAAAAAAAATAATAATTAAGAAAACCAGCACCCAAAATTACTTCTTCCCCAATATGAACGAACAGTAAAATCAATCGTCAACTCATTTTCATTTTTCTTCCACAGTTTCACTATGGTTTTCTGTCAAATTTATAATTAAAAAAAAATAATCATAGCACTGAAAATTTAGCTAATTGAAGTGCTGGTCTAATTAAAACAGTCTTCAGAAATGCTACAACTTTCAGTAATAATTAGATCACAGAGCAGCAGAGGTTAATACTTGCAGAGGAAATGTCTTACTTGATCACAGCAGTGATCACATAGCTCCGAAACCCACATCTCACAGTGACTAGGATCATATGCTCCAGAGGATTATGAAAGAAATCTTGTGGTAGACAGTAATGGGATAATTTGACTGCAGGGGAAATGTAATACTTGTCAGATGTACCCTGATATATGAAGACATATCAATTTTGAGAAAATACATATTATTTCTACTAACTTAACTGCATTTTCTCATTAGAGAGGCCCAAAAGACATCTTGGTTTTTGAACAAAGATCTTATACTCAATTATGTAACTGGCAGGGAGTACTATGAGTTAATTATGTAACGTATATGAATACGCCCTTCTATTGGATTAATACTGCTGCACTAAATTGATAATGCATACTAGGGCCTACATTGCAGTCTCATAATAAGGTGGTGATGATTAGCTCTTTGATCTTCTTGTCTGAGACTGTGGAAAAAGAACATGGTCGATAGAGCAGACAGGAAAGGAGACAACAGATGTAGGCCTGTAGACCTGAGTTTCATATAAACATCGCAGGCACATGAACTAAACAATCAACAATCTTTACACATCTTAGTCTGATTGGAACGATGGTAATTTTTGCCAAGAAAAGTAGAAGCTATTGAAAGTGCCCCCAGTGTGAGAAAAAGAATTAAAGATTATAAAGGAACATTAAGAAAGATGATTACCATAGAAAGAAGACAAAGAAATCAGCTACAAAATCAGCTACCCTCTCTCCAGTTGTGCCTTTCCCAATTTTCAGAGTATCCTCTAGATCACCCCAGAATGCTATGAACCAAGCAAGGGATAACTCTCATGGCCAAGAAAACAGCCCATGAGATCAAAACAGAAGATCGCTACCTATTTTAAAAAATCTTTACACAATGTAGACTTCATGTACCTTCTGCCCCACAAAGAATTTGTGGGAAAGTGATTCAACCAGCCAACTCAAGTCATCTATTTCACTTTTCTTTACTAACCTCAGACTTGCTACCACATCTTTTACAGGCTAAGATACTTGGAGGGGTCCTCAGATGTATTTTGGCAGCAAACAAAAAAAAAAAAAGAAGACATCTCTCTAATAGCAGGAGAACAGCCAGGAAGTCAGACAAAATGACCACTCTCGATAAGAAAGCTCAAATTGCTGCCTTAATGGACTCCCATGTATTTTAGATACCTAATTTACCCTTCTGCCAGTCACTCATCGAACCATGCATAGAACCTACCTTGTAAACTCCTCATGAAGGTTGTTCGGTTCTGATGAATAGTATTTAATTCGAAAATGCAACGTGTACGGAGGTCCAACTGTATATGCAGAGATTTTAAAAGGAGAAAAAAAAAAACAAAAGTTTACGCTACTGAAGTTTTGCTAAAGCTGAACAACCACCACCACCCCACAACCAAAGAAACCCAAAATGAAGTATGCTTTTAAATTCTTCAGAAAAGAGAACCAAGTATTTAATGTGATAAAAATTTAAAAGACATGCAATGCTAATTACAGAAATGTAGATGCCTACCACACCTTAAGATACCTTAATCATTACTTAATAATAATAATAAAAAAAAAAACAATACATTTGGGAAACACATTTTTGTTCAGTGTTGAATTTCATATACACTTCTGAGGGGTGGGGGAAATTGGATGGAATGAGAGGGAGAGAGTCATGCTTCTTGCTACAAGGTACAAACAATTTAAAAAAATCCAATGGATCCGCTTTCATTAAATGGATACAACTGAAGGAGAAAAAGTAAGAGAAATGAGGTGAAAAGTGCTGAAAATGATTCTGAAACACACACAGCCTTAAGAAACACAGAAAGCTAGGAAATTACATGAAGTGAAGATGCAAGCATCATCATTTCCTAGGCCAGAAGGCAGACACTAGGTCTGATTTTCTGTGTAGACGTAAATAATAAAATGTTACCCTACTAATATGAGACTACCCAATGCATTCTTACCTGCCTAAACCTCATCTGGTAGGACCACAGTCTGCAATTATCTTAAGTGCTGGAAAAATGACTATTTTTCACCTAGTTTTGTAGTAGCACTGTATCAACATGGCATATATGTGCCGACTAATGATTTACTTTTGTAAAAGACTTGATGCAAAAACTCTGATTATTAAATCTTTGATTTTGTCTCCAAGGATAGTTCCAAGAAGACATAGGTTACAGTACACCAGGCTGACATTTGGGCACCACTGGTAGATCAGCATCAGCAGGATAATGACTCTTACCTGCCCACTGTCAGGGGGCAAAAAAGAGCAATAAGTAACATCTGTCCCGAAAGTGGAACTCTTCCCAAAGTACCCACTGAACGAAAGGTAATGAAATGTATTCTGTTGCGAGACACATCTTTACAACACTCCTCAAGTTGCTTTACTCTTCAGGGGTTCCTCAGACCAGGGTTTAGACAATCTGCTTTAAATACAGGGACTTTCAAGATTATGCACAGACAAAACTGCACTTTAACTGCTTGGAGGTGTTACAAAATTGTAGATTCTCTACATTTAAAGAAAGATCAGGAAAAGTACAAAGAAATTACAGGAAGCACACCTGGAAATCACTTTGCCACTTAAGGTAAAGCTGTTCACAATGCTATGAACAGCAAGAGAAGGCCAACCAACAAAAAATTACCCATAGCAAGTATCTTTACAATATATTCTAGCAGACTGACGCCCCAGTGTGGAGTGAAAGCAAACTGTCTTTTAAAGGCCTTTGAAGAAAAGCTTCATGAGTTTCAGAAATGTTCTGCTTATTTTGATGCTTGTTAAAGAGAAAGGTGAAGCATCACTGAAGAATCAAGACTGTTTACCTGTTTACAAAACCCACAACCTCCTTGAAAAACACCATATTTTAATTTCATGGAAGCAATATTATCAGTTGGCCTATGGCTGTCGTCTACAAGAGTTATTAACAAAACAGGTTACTACTGCCCTGTACGGCCCAAGCCTGCAACTGAATTGCTAGAGCTGCAGGAACAACTTGCCCACCTTAGCCACAGAAAACTCAATGAGGAAATCTAAACTCAACCCTTCCACTCAAAACTCCCTTTGAAAAAAAGCCATGTATTTCTGCTAGTTTTAATAAAATGTACAAAAAGATGGTGAAATCTATAGAATAAAATATTTTCCATTTACTCCTTGGAAGGGAAAATAAATAAATAAATCACAAAGCCTGTTTTGGATCACAAGCAGTGACAGATACTGAGATCTGTGTCCAGGCAACCTGCTTTCACAGAGCAGACTGAAATTACCTGGCAACCTACTCTGCCTCAAAGAAACAGGACATATTTAACAAGGGTACAGAAGACTGATCTATTCCTTATACGTGAACTTGCATTTTGACATCTGTGCCAGCCAATTAACCATTAAATTAAATCTATTTTCTAAGAAATATTCAATCTGTTAAAGGTCATATTTACACAACTGTGTTAAAATACTCCAAACTCTTAAGGAAATACGCAGAGACATGGTACTTACTTTTTATCTGTTTCTTAATGAATTTAGAATGGTCCAACCAATGCTAGAAAAAGAAAAAAAAAATCCACATTTAAAAGCAGCTCCATGTCAAGATTTTGTTATCACATTAAAACTCATTAAAGCAAAATATCTCTTAAAATGTAAAATTGCTGTGCTTATTTGCTCAGCTTTTCCCATTTGCCACAGTTTATCTGCACCAGTCATCAAGCATCTTTTTCCAAGAAAGAAAGCCTGCTATAGGCATCAGTACTACCAGGGAAGTTTCACTCTTTCAAAGGAGAAAATTTAAAATCCCAAATCTCAAGACAGCAGTATGCAAAGAAAACACACTTTCATCTTCAGGTTCAAATATCACATGGAGTGTCCCCAGGCCAAAATCCTGGCTTTCATTCTTCTTTCAACTCCTTTATCTCATGGAAACCCTCCAGATCCTGTCCTGTTTGGCCTTCCACGGCTCCATGGTCAAGTTTTTCAAGACAAGGATGAACTCCCAACTTAAACTCACTAAAGCACTTCAGAAAAAATGATGTACGTATCATTCAAATGCTCTTGAACAGATACAACTAAGATGACAAAAAAGTATGCTTTGCAGAAAAGTTCATGCACTCTTATCAGCATGAGCTGCACCTGCAACAAGTAGCCATAAAGTATAAATTTAGATTTAGTTTAAATCTTTATCTGTGGCTGCACAAAGTCCTAAAGCTACAGTTTGAGCTGAAGCAATACCACCTACATTCTCCTACCATAAGGTAATAAAAGAGTATCCAGACTGATGTGAAGTACTCTTTTTCTATATGCATGTATTTATTTCAAAATAGTAAAGTAGACACCAATGAAGAAAATTTTGGCAGGAAAAAAAAAAAAAAAAAAGCAAGAACAAAACCACCTTCCTTTCTCCCTATAAAAGCACTTGCACTTTCAGGGAAAGGAGAATCTAAGCAACTACTTACTGTCTCATTGTATCACTCTCCTATAGCTAAATACCTACCTATTTATTGGATAATCTAAATAATAAATAAGGAGAGCTAGAGGGAACAAGAGGACGGACTCTTTAGCAGGGTCTGTGGTGACAGAACAAGCAGAGACAGCTTCAAGTTCAGAGGGTACATTTAGGTTGGATGTAAGGAAAAGTCTTTTACAGTTGTCACGGAGTTGACCAGATCGATCTATGTCCGTGACAGGGGCAACAGGCCTCTGCCCTCCCCCCCCACCCCAGTCCCACAAAAAATGGGAAGGAAGGAAGGGAGGAAAAGAACAGCGGCAACAATCTATGGAGAAAAACTTATTTTACTATAATATTGGAATACAAGATAACACAATATATACAATTTAATTGAAATTGAGATTAATAAATCAGACAAGATAAGAGAGAGAGAGTTCCCGGGACCAATTCAAACCCGAAAAGCTTGGAACGTCTAGGAAAGCACCTCCAGCACCCACTGCAAGGCAGCAAGAGAACGCCCCCCCACCTGGAAGGGCCAGATCCCGTGACTGCTGTAATGTACAGGGATAGGTACTTGGAATTGGGGCAGTGACACTTTAATGCCCCGTACACTACATGATGTTTTGATGTGGAATACTGAAACCCAAAAACAAAAAAACAAAAACAAAAAAACATAGAACCATGACAACAGTGAGGGCAGTGAGGCACTGGCACAGTTTGCCCAGAGAAGTGGTTGATGCCCCATCCCTGGAGACTTTCAATGTGAGGCTGGATCAGGTCCTGGGCTACCTCTTCTAGCTGTGATGTCCCCGTTCATTGCAGGATCAGATGACCTTTAAAGGTCCCTTCCATCTCTAAGGATTTTATGATTCTGTGATGACAGTGTTGATATGTATTTATTATGTCCTAAAGCCAAGGCAAAAATTCATTTAGCAAAGTGGATGAGTATAGCTCAAAAGTTTGCCAGTTTATGACCTCTAAGTTAAATAAATGTTAAGAAAAAAAAAAAAAAAGAGAGAGAGAGAGAGAAATAGAAATGGAACAATTATTCTAAAGATGCTTTTATTTACATGAGACCTGCTAAACCTCCGTAAGTGAAGCTGTCAAAGAAAATTGAAAGTCCTTGCGGTCTGAGAAATGACTAGATATTCTGTAGGGTTGCAAGGAATTTATTTTGTCTCTACTTTACTCTCTTATGAAGAATTACACCAGAAACTACAGCAGTTCACATAAGTTTCATGAAATTTCAGATTCGTGATAAGGAAAAATGATTAATGTTAAAAAAAAAAAAAGTAAAATTGTAGAAGTCTTTCACACCTCCAGGGTAGAGTAAATTCTTATGTTTCAAATACCTAACTGCAAAATTGTCCCACCACACTATTCTTTTTGGCTACACATGAATTAGTCACAAAGCTAGTATATCCCGATTCCATTAGAAAAAAGCCTTATCTTCAACATTAATAAAACAAATACAAAAAAACATCTATCCTACAGACAAAAATCCTCTGATGCCTCTTCATAATTTCCAATGAAATATCAGTTAATATGACAGTCCCAATATTGCAATGTGGTGCTCTAAGTATACTAAAACTCAAATAACAACACCTTCTGAATCATAAATGTAAATACTTTAAAGGCTGAAAAATAACTAACAAGACTTCAGAAATTACTCATTCACACCCTTAAACAAGATGTAACTTAGCTAGGAGGCTATTCTCCATACCCAAGCAGCCAGACAGCTTATTCAGGAGATAAAACACAACACACATTAAGCTGATCTCCCGAAGAAAGACTTATCCCCATCCCAAATGGCACACCATTGTGAAAGGGCCACCACACAGGTCTCAAAGTAAAAATAAAGTGGTTGGACATGGACTGGTAGTACTTGTGGCCTAGAGTTCCTAGACCCAGCAGCACTCATGCAGATTTGTGAACTAATGCCAATTTAAGTCAAATATTTTGTGCTACTTCTGTCAAAACCAGACCAAATTCCAACGTTTCAGATACAGAGAATTTCTTCACACTGGAAGTCATGCCAGCTTTCCAAGTGTCCTGTAAGCTCAAGTGGTGTCATCCTATTACTCCCTTCCACATAAACTGCCCAGATAGTTGTATGCAGAACACAGTATGCGTGTTGACAAAACCAAATATTGTCCTGTGAGGCGACAAACAGTACAGTTGAGAGTTCTGGTCTTGAATACCTTCCAAGGTTTAGCAAGTGTTCTCAAAAACACTTCTTAATGAACCAGAAGAAAACCTCCAAACACTCAGTTGAAGATCGCGTGGCATTCTAGCTACAGCCAAAAAAGTTTGAACTTGATTACCTGCTTCTTGTTGACTTCTGAACCTGGAAGTGAAAAGGGTCAAGTAGGAAGTGAATGAAAATGGAGGGAACTTCTATTCTCTCAGAACCTAATGACTACGCCTCTGCCTAAGCAACTGCTCTGGCTAAAGAACTGCACATTATTTCAGGATGCAAACCCAAAGAGTCATAACTTTGGATGTCACAGTGTACATTTCAACAGTACAATGATACATATCCAGACTAAACTCAAAAGCATCAATGCAGAACAAGGAAAAGGAAAAAGTTTAGTAGGTTTAAGACTGTTTTACAACAGAAAGATAATTTCTAAGCTACTTTGCCCACAGTAAAGGAAAACAGCCACAAAAACAAAAGCCTGTCAGGCTGCAGGCAAACAAGATTCTGTGACTCTTCATTTTGATGGGTAAACTAGAACTTCAATTGCTGGATTAGTCTCCTTTTATTCCTAGTTAATCTCAGTATAATTCTTTTTTGTTTGTTTGTTTTTCCTATTGTCAAATGAATAATGTTTCCTGTTGCATTAATTAATGTAAAACAGCAGTCACTGGTGGGGATTAACAGGTTGAATTTTCAAGAAAGGATTTGAAATTTCTGTCAGGCAACCACAGAAATGAAAGATAAATACCATCCGGTTTCACATTAAAACAAAACAAAAATTTCAAAAACCCTGTTTAAAACAAACAAACAAAACACTGTCTATTACAAAAGTGGAAGCACGGACTTAGCACATTATCCTGTTAATCACACACTTCATCTATCTGAAGATGAAAAATACCTTCACACTTCTTCAGTGGTAGCAATCAATATTGTTTCTCAAACTCTGGTTGTCATACAGGAAGGCAAAGATGTATTTGTGTCAAGATATAGCAGATAATCTGTAGTTACTGAAGCAGTCTGCATGAGGACCACAATGACTGCTAAACGGTGACTAGAAGGGGGGATACCACAAGTTGACACAAACCCATCACACACCTGTGCTTTCCAAATTCCACTGGCTCCCCACTTGCTTCATAAAAGAATGAAAAGTCCTGGTCTTGATCTATACAGCCCTCAAAGGTGACCTGTAAAGGAAAAAAATTGGGTTTGACCCTTTTTTTTTTTTTTGCTAGCTTGCTTTGCTAGACTAAAATGCATGAAGAACATCTTAAATAGACTGCTTTTCCTTATTTATATACTTAACTTTCAGAAGCAGAAAGCTCATTCTCATTGGAAGTCTTATTTGCTGTGTAAAAGTATTGCTTAAATGCTTTCTCAAGCAATTATTGAAGGAATAGCAGTGGAGAAGAATCCAAAGCAGTGTTAAATGCTCAACTTCAGAAAAGAAGGCATTCTATATAAAAACTGGCAACTTTAAAATCAGAATTTAATTACCCTTCCCACATCTTTCTGCCATCTGATTTCCGAGGCCCCTAAAATCTATTTGTCTGCCATTAGCCATGTGGCTTTCTAAAGCAGAGCAGGTAAAATCCTAACATACAGGAGGAAGGAATCATCCGCCTCCCTAAAACAACAAAAAACGGGGGGAAAAAAAAAGGGGAAAAAAAAAGTCTGCAATGAAATGAAAACCCTACCCAATTAACCATAGTTTTGGGCTTTGTCTATACATCATTAGCATAAAAAGTAACAGAAGAGAATTAACTGTTTTTTCTTCTCAAGGTCACCTTTTAAATATTGTAGTAGTGACAGAAACGGACCAGAACTGAAGTTGCACAGAGAACCAGGGACTACTCAAGCACGTTAGTTAGAAATATTGCCTGCTCCCAAGAGTTTCAAGCTC